CTGCTCCCAGCATGAGGCAGATGTGTTAAGAAGGCCCCTCTACCCAGCACACAGAAGAACCTCTGAAAACTAAAGTCAGACACATCCTTCCTCTCCTAAATTCTCAGAGGGCTCCCTACTGACCTGTACTAAAGCCTCCATCCTCACCAGGGCTTTCCAGGCTAACAAGCTCTGATCATCCCTCCAGCCTTTCTACTCCTTGCTCCTCTAGTCTCTGGGTCTTCCCTCTGGCCCATCCCTTCTCTAGGATGGAATTCCCCCAGCCCAGACATCTAACTCCTTCCAGCCTTTACCCAAATGTTACCTTCTCAATGAGGTAATGCTAGAACTCTTATAAAAACTGCAGCCTCCCTGCAACTCTAGCTCCCTGCACTCACCCCACTTTGCTCTTCCTATAATGTTCACCCCTAACAGCTTTGCTGTATGCACTTGGCACATTTATTTTGTCTTCTATCCTATGTGTTGACTCTCTCTTTCCTGAACATTTAGCCCCACTTGGGAAGGCATTCTGACAGAGATCGTGATCAGGGCCTGACACCTAATGGACACTCAGCAAATGAATTTCAGTCTCTACCTGGAAACCCCAAAAGTCAAAGGCCAGCAGTTACTGAAGAACTGCTGCCCAGGATATCTTACATGTTGATTTTTCTTTTTCTTTTTCTTTTCTCTTTTTATTTTATTTTATTTTTTTCAGACTGGAGATTGCAACCAGGAATGCTCTACCATTAATGTACATCCCTAGTCCTTTTTATTTATTTATTTACTTTTATTTTGAGGGTGTCACTAAGTTGCCCAGATTGGCCTTGAACTTGAGATCCTCCTACCCAAGTCTCCCCAGTCACTGGATCACAGGCATATAAGGGTTGGTTCTCTAAAGCAGCCAATACTGTTCCCTTTGTGTCAGAGATTAGCAGTACTAGGATTAGATCCTGAGCTGGATTTTACATTGGAGAAGACAAACTGTTGACTGGGCTTAAGACAGCAATCTGCACTCAGCCCTGAAATATGGTTTGTTGGGCTGCATTCTTTTTCACTCTGGTGCCCACTCCTCATACCTAC